GGGGGGGGGGGGGGGGGGGGGGGGGGGGGGGGGGGGGGGGGGGGGGGGGGGGGGGGGGGGGGGCACAACAGCGAGGCGGGTACCAGCAGCAGCAATAGCACCACCAACAACAACAACAAGAACAACAACAACAATAGCAGCAACATGCAACAGCAGCAGCTGGGGCATCCCCCCGGTACCTCCGGTGGAGGAGCGTTTGCGTCTTCCTCGTCCTGCTGAGCCTGGACCCTAGCCTTCACCACCGAAGCTTCGTCCCCATCTATCGTGCACAGGGGCTTCCCAACCTCCACCTGCGTTAAAGCAGAGCACAAACCCGTCACGCGAGTTATTTGTTACAGGCGACACAGAGGGGCGACAGGGCGGTACGAGCACAAACAGAAGCGCAATCCGGCAACCTCATCCCCAAGTGCAAACCCTTACCCATGCCTATGCGCAATCCCAACCCCATCCAAGCTTCGGGGAGGGGGGCTTGGCTCACCACTCACCACGTCATCGACGGCAGCGAAGAGCTTCACCACAACCCCAACGTGCGTCGACCGCACGTCAACGCTGACCTTGTCGGTCTCTACTACGGCGATGACCTCGTCCTCGGACACCTCGTCGCCTACCGACTTTCGCCACTCCACCACGGTGCCCTCGGAGATGGAGTCGCCAAGCCTGCCGAACCATGACGAGGAGAAGCACAGGGGGATAAATGCGACAGGGTTGTACGGTAATAGGCTAAAAAAGGTCGTGAGCCCAAACAACGACAAGAAATTATGGTAGGCTGACGAAGGTGACGAAGGTGGTGGACTGCCGAGCCATGGCAAGCATGGGGGGAAAACACGACACGAGGTTACGGTAGGCTACGAAAGGTCGTGAGACCAAGACTGCCGAACCACGGCGAGAAGAGGCACACGGGGGGAACGACGACACGAGAGTACGGCATTAGGCTAAGAAAGGTCGTGAGCATGTTGAGATTTTAGAAATACGTGATGGCGTTGCTGCTCCTGCTCCTGCTGCTGGTGCTGAGCTGCCGTCAAACGATTTCCCATTTGTCCCCTGGCTGCGAGACGTTGACAATTATACCTGTCATGGAGGGTGGCTTGGACGGGAAAGACTGCAGTTGTGTGCTTCGCACTACAACCATCAACCGCAGTGACGCGAAATGAGCACGGGCTGCAACATGGTAGATGACACTCAATTCTGCTACTACCAAAAAAGTAGTCGCCAGGCGTTCACCATCCAGCAGCGCCCCCCCCCGCCGTGAAAACACGTACGCATACGTAAGAAAAGCAAGCTGTTATCAATTGGCGCCATGGGCGGCCGGCTCTGTCGTGTGTGAAATGTCAAGTGGGTTGTGCGGACGTTCGTTTGTCCGCGTCATGCGAGCACTTTTTGGACCACCCGATCTCCCAACATTTCCCAAAGAAAAGTGACAAAGCATTCGCGTTCTGTCTGCTGTCTCACCCGGGGAGCTCCATGACATGTTCGCCCCTCCTAGGGGGTGACCCGCGGAATGACCCCAGCGACGACGATGTTCCGAATCTGCGGTGCCCTGGCTGCAGCTGGAGAACGCCTTCGGACGGCCCTGCCGTTGCGACGCTAGATCGCAGCAGCGCCCCCGCCGGTATCGCCGGAGGCCGCTGTTGAACGGGGGGTGGGCGGGCGGGACTTACGGATGGCTTGTCTTACTCATTTGACAATCGACGGCGAATCCATTGCAGACGACCATCGCAGTCTTTCATCCTGCCCAAGTGAACCTCGTAACAACAAGGCCAAGCAAGGGGGGCCGCTGTGCGTGTCCGTATGTGTTTCTGCATCGACCGCGCTAGCCGGCTGATCGATGAAGAGGCGTCATTGTGTGTGTGTGTGTGTTCCCTTTTAACTTGCATCGACCGCGCTGATCGACCGCCGAATGACAGGACGCTATTATAGTCCAAGAGCGGAACCAAGCGAACATCCATGTGCATCAATAAAAAATAAATGTATGCTACATGCAGTTGGCGTCCCAGGCGGTATGCTGCTCTAGATGAAACGACAGGATCCAAGTAGTCCAGTCTCCGGATGAATAGTGCTTGGCAAACGGAGAAAAGAACAACAACTCTACGCAGCAATTTTGCCTGCGGTACGAGCTACTTGTGTGCTACCATATTTCCGCTGCACTTCGCCACTCGCTGCCCGATTTATGTGCGAGTGTCGTCGAGCTGCTCTGGCCGTCAGACTAACACAGCAGGTCGGGCGAGGGTAGGTCATTTTGAAACTCATGCTTGCGTGCAAATCGGTACAGTAGGGGGCCCTCTTTAGTGCCGGTATGTGTTCAGAGAGCAAAGCGGCACTATACCGGGCACCGGCATTATTCAGAGTACAGAAAGACTTGATATTCCGGTGTGTGCGAGCCGAAAACACCGGCACTATATCGGGCCACCCACTGTATATACAAAGCAGTGGAACCCGTGCCCAAACCACCATGCAGGTGCGGTTTTACTCAGCTTTCCCGAGTGCTTTGCCAGCCAAGCCGGTTTGAACGCCATGAACCTAACACGAAAGGATGAGGTTTCCAGTATTGCTGAAAGGGTACATCGTCTGATCCTTGCATCATGAACACGGAGAGTTATCGACTCGTAACATCGCAACGCCACAGCTTCTCCCAAGGCACGCACGTGCTAGCAACATCGAATGCACGCACTTGTAGCTAAATGATGTTCTTTTCAGTGAGGTTCATCACGAGTACGGCCGCCTGTTGGTCTCTTTGTGCAGTGGGGGGGGGGGCAGCCGTGAGTAACAGAGGGAGGACGTTGTGTGCGATGTTCACCGCCAGAAATTTGGGTGTGGCCACAAAAACAAGGCTGAAGAGTAGGTCACAGATGCACCCCACAGCCTGGTGCCCATCAGAATGCTGCCACACGTCGTACTAAGGGCACACATGCCATTGCCAGGCGCACACAGCAGTAACATATGAAGGTCAGGTAGAGGAGGACCTAGGCGTGAGTTGAAGGGTAATGAACAAGTCCTCTGCGTGAGTACTTGATCTGTACTCTCACCAACACCACAAAGACTTGGACGAGACACGAGAGCCACGTGTGTGTACGGACATGCTGGGCGCACGCGACCACCTTCCACGCTGGTGCCGCTCTGCTGCTGCTACAACAAGCGCTGCTGCAGTCCTTGGTAGGTGCGGTACAACAACGACAAATTCACACTGTCGTTACCTGCGGCAATAGTGCTGGCGAACTTCTGTAGCTCCTCTGACTGCGGAGAGCGGAGGACGAGATACATCTCCGAGCTGATGCTACCGGCGCCACTGTCCGGTATATCGAAGCCATCTCTCCCCGTGGCGACGCCTGAGTCAGGTCCAATTCGCCCTTGGACGGTGTGTGTGATGTGTCTGGTTCCCTCAACACAACAGTCAAGCAGAGACACTGTTGGGGGCTGCGTGAGATCACGAACGGGAAGGGAGGGCATCCCATCGAAGATGCGCTCGCAGACAGGCCGATAACCCAACACACCAGACCAACAACAGCCAGCGAGGAAGGTCAAAGGAACGGCTGGGGCAGTCCTACCGCAGACGAACGACTTGAAGGTGCGATGGAGTAGGGAAACACGGCTTGAATGTGCATCCCACGACGTGCGGCAGACGCCAACATTGCATCCGATTTCAATGGCCCATTGCGATCAAACCACACCGTCGTTTCTCCTGCCACTGCGGAATAGATGGTCTGATTCAGCAACATCGTCCCTTCTTTCGCAATGCCAGACATAAAGAAGCGCAGCCGACGAAAGGAACTAGACTCTCTTGAGGAAGCTTTGGAATAACCGGGGTAAGGCACTGCAGCTGCTGTAAGAGGAAAGAGGAGCGATGTTTACAACGACTGCAGCCGCCGCCGCGTCGGGCAGCCGGCGGTCTGCTGCTGCTGGAGCCAAAGCGGTAGCGGGGTGGAAGGCAGCCGGAGGAGCATCCAGGTGCAAGTCGGCCGTGGCTGCCGCGTCAAGCGAGAGCGTCAAGACCTTCAAGATATACCGATGGGACCCCAACGAGAAGGTGCGACATCTGCACGACCGGCGCAGACAGGGGTCTGTGTCAGTAATCAATACTCAATGTTGCACTACAACCGAACAGCAACCTTCAGTTTTATGACTGGGCGACTGGACTTGACTGCAACCTGACGAGGAAGTTCAAACACCGCAACGAAGATATGCCGAGATTAGGTTGTAGCAGTTCCGCCGGTAGCAATTAGTAGGCCGGATGGAATCGAAGCGCTCTTTGGTGTTTGTGAAGCAGTGCCAACTCCTGCACAGTGCCAGACCTCACACAAAGGACATCTCGAAAATGAGTTCGTGTGGGTTTTACTTTCAAGTATAATATCTCGGTAAAAATCTTATGTGGACGTTGTGTCCCAGTGTTTGGTTCGCGACGTAATCCGCAAAGAAAACACCCCCCGGAATACCGTTGTTTCGCTGAAAAGCAGTGTTTCTATGTGTTAATCACCGGATGTTCGATGGATAGGTGCGGCATTTTGGTATCTTCGGTGACTCGATGAGCACTTGACCTGAGAATTATTTTAGATTTTGGGCTCATGTTTCGCCGCAAAAATGTTATTTAGTATTCCTCGGCGGTTCCCCAGGTGGGTTTCCGTGGAGGGGTGTCACCGAAAAGTGCGGAGATATGGCACCTCTAGACCGACTTTCTAACCCGGATGCTCCGTAACGAAGTGGGTGCGTAAAGAGCCCGATACGTGTACGCAAAGCGGTCGACGAGATAGACGTTTCCAATACGACCACTTCGGGTGTTGGCACTATTCGATAAAGGCTGACCATTCGACTACGTGCACAGTCAATCAAATGATGACTGTGCACGTAGTCAAATGGTCAGCCTTTATCGAATAAAAGATACACTCTCGGCTCGTAGCCAATCCCAGTGGATCTGATGGTGGAGCGGCACGACCTTTTTTAGCGCTTCCTGCGTTTGGATCGCTTGTACTCGTATGATGGAGTAGGAGTAGATGATGCGAATGCACAGTAAACAAGTGATAATTTTCCTATGACAGTGGCCACACTCCCTTACACCCGTAAAAGCGGAGGAGGTTATATGGGATATGGGGCAGTGGTGACGATGGTGTGCGTCGCTGACTGGGGTTTACCGCTACAGTAGCCACCGTCTGGTCGCTCCGCTTGAAGTGCTGCTGCAGTTTGCGCCTTTCTGCAGCCTTTGCCAATGCGCATGAACCACAACAAGAATTGATAGAGCTTTTGAGTAGTTGAACGTGCAGAGTACAACAGGGTGATGCCCTCCCTCCTTCCCCCGGCGGTCCTGTGGGAACAATGCTCCGTCTTCTCGGGGACTCGTGGTTACTTGTCTAACCGCTCAGGTGTGCAAAACATAAGAGCACGCCCCCCCCTCCCCCGGCCCAAATGGTCCAGTAATTCAGGCATTCAAAGCATGAGTATGCCTCCCCGGAAACACCCACTTATCTTTCGATATATTCAGGACCAAAAGCCGTACATGAAGACGTACCCGATAGACAGAGACGACTGCGGGCCCATGGTGCTGGACGCACTGATCAAGATCAAGAATGAACAGGTGAGTTTTCTTCACCCATCCCGATTGCTATATACAAGTACATTTGTTCCCCTCTGCGCGTTGGCCACGATGTCCAAGGTTTTGCGTGTGTGGACGCCACCACCGCTGCTGTACTGTAGTCTCAAGGTACCGTTCTACTTTTGTTTTTGTCGGTACTGTGTTCCTTCGTGTGAGCGAGCGATTGCCGGCAGGCCGTCGAACTCGAATGTAACGATTTGTGTTGTGTTACTCTCCTCCCAGCCCCACCCTCCGGGTTCTATGATGAGGTGGCGACCTGGCGTTGCGCCGCTCTATCGCCGAAATTATTTTCGCCGCGCGTTTCAAGTGCTCGAACGGCCCATTAGCTGCCGGCAGTGGTGTGCGTCTCGCTGTGGAGTTGTCTCGCAATTGTGCTCTCCGTACCTTTCCCGTGTTTCTGACGGCGGAAGCAGCATGTGTCGTTGTAGCGCTTCTCCTGGTATGAACGACAACCATGCCTGTCCTTGCCCGGTTCGTGTCGCCCCTTGTGCAGTGGTGCACATCTTGGGAGGCTAGAACCCCCTTCCGCTAACCCTTACCTTAAGACACGAAAACATGGTACGCTTAGTGATCTGCCACAAGCAAGACGGGATAACCCCTGCGTTAGACAAGAAATATATTCCGCCCGGATGACGAAGACAGGAGATTAGATGAGAGGTCGTTGTTGACCTGCCCTGCCTGCGTTCCTGCACCTTTTGGCTTTTTCCTCTCGCTCTCTTGTCGGTTGTGCGTGACGCAGGACCCTACCCTGACGTTCCGGCGATCATGCCGCGAGGGAATCTGTGGCTCGTGCGCCATGAACATCAACGGGAAGAACACGCTGGCCTGCCTCTGCGCCATCGAAGAGGTGAGCGTGGATGGCGTCGTCTGGTGGACAGGAGCGTAAGAACCCACGTCTAAACCCGTGGATCTTAAAACACCCACGACCTCCACATGGTACGGCATACCGCAGATACAGGCACAGGCAGACCTGCCGCTCTGATTCGGTGTTGCTCGTGGCGCGTGCATGTACAGTCATGTCGAAGCAGCCATGTGTTGCCTTTGGCACCATCTCTCTGCCGTACGGCCGTCACGCCTACTGTTTGTATTGTCACGAATCGATTCATTTTTCTGGCCGTCGTTTTCTGCTTCCTTCCTTCCCCTGTCGCCGATCGCTCGACGCCACCTCCCTCGACAAACCCCGACCTCTCACGCATCCGTATCTTCCTGATTCCACGCCATTAACCGAAGCGCTTCTTTTTCCGATCCTCCCCCCCCCCC